CTGTGGAGATGTTGTCAGATCCTGGAACCGTAAGATGATGTTGCCAAACCCTGGCTCTCAAATAGCGATGGTGTATTCTGATTTTCTGAGAGTAGGCTTAGTAACCCGTATGTGAGAGTATTTATAATAAAAAAGAGAAACCGTCCATCACGATTTTTCTGCTACTTCTCACGTATTAATGAATGTGATAGACTTAATGGGAAACAAGTGGGCCACAATTTTAGGTTAGTTTAATTATATAAGATAATTCAAAAATAATCAAAATTCAAACATGATTAATTAATTAATTAAACTAACATCTATATCTTAATTTAATATTTTATTACTTCTAATTTAAATATGTAATTAATGATAATTATCTCCGTAATTAATAATTTTTTAATTTTTTGAAATTCTTTACCATTTTAAAAATTGATGTAATAATTTTTAATTTTTATTTAAACATGTAAGTAATAATAATTACATTCATAATTAACATATCTCAATACTATAAATATCTATAATAAAGTCATCTTCAAACCTTATTTTTACATATCACAAACCTTATATATTAAATAGAATCTAATTATTTAACTGACTTATCTAAATATATCAACAATATAAATAAAATTTATATATCTCCCTAATTAGTTTTTTCCTATAGTATTTATAATTTAAATTTATTTGAATGTATATTTATTATAATATAACTATGGGTTTAAATGAATTTTATACATATTTTTATTACAATATTCATAATTAATAAAACTATAACTAATCAAACTTATAAAAATAAAAAATTTGATATAAATTTTATGATATTGCATAAAGTATAGAATATTTCTTTGGTTATTTTTCAATTAAATTATTTAAATACGTATATACTATGTTATATAATTATATATTCAAATAAATATATATGAATTTTGAGTAATTTGTACAAATTTATTTGATTAAGTTTTAAATTATTATAACTAAAAAATAACAATTATTTTAAATATGAACAAATTGTTAAATATAAAGATATATTTTGAATCTCATAACATTTTTTTTTATTTCTTAAATTTATTTTTATTTTATTTTTTAGATTTTTTTTCTTTAATTATGGATTATGATTTGAGTTTAGTTTTGAATAAGAATAATTTCGAATTTATTTATAAAATTTTATAAGTTTTGGATTAAAATTTTATCTTGATTATATAATAATGCTTTATGTTCGCCTAATTTTTTCTTTTTTATTTATGATTTATATTTGTTTGATATATATTTAAAGAAAATATGATATATATTTTTATAGTAATAATGATAGTAAATAAAGATTAATAGTTAAATATTTTTTTCCTACACAAATTAAATAGAATAAATTTAACGAAAAATAAAAAAATATATTAAAAAATTAATAGATTAAAAAATAAAATATAAAAAATTCGTGTATCGCACAGGTTTCCCACTAATTATTATATAAAACACATCAATAAAACCTGTATAATCATCTATTTTTTCTTTTTTTTAAAATTAAATAAATTTAAATTAAATAGTCACAATTAATAAAATTATAATTAACATACCTAATATATTATAATAAATATAGTTAGGGTGTGTTTGTTTGGGGGTTTGGATTTTGAGTTGGGATTTGAATAGTAAAAATTTTGAATTTGAATAGTTGTATGATGTGATATAAATAGGTGATGATGTGATGTTTTGAATGTAAAATTGATTTTTAGTATAATATAAAAAATGAAAAATAGGTGTTTGATTTGATATTTTTGGGGGGGAAATTTTGGATGAATAGTGGAATTTTATCCAAATCCATCAAACGAACACACCCTTAATATATTTTGAAAATGAAAAATTTGATAAAAATTATTAAAACTATTTGTTATTTTATATTCAAGATCGACAAGCTTTATATTTACAAGAAACATACAAATTTACTAGAAAACTTAAAGGATCTTTTATATATCGAAAGTAAGAGCTCAGACTCAAATTACCCAAACAAAAAATATCCAAAAACCAATAGTACCGCACAAACCAGACCCAAAACACAACCAACATCCACATAAACGTAATAAACATGCGAAACAGACTCTGATCTAAGGAAACATCAACGATCTAAGCCTATTTTCATCGCAGATAGACAAAATACACCAAGAATAGTAAGGAAGACAAAGGTCGAGAAACCAAATCGAAGAACAACTTCAGTACAGGCTGAACCCAGCAATCGAAACTTCAAATTCGCCGGACAGATCACCGGAGAAAATCCAAAAAAGATTGATTGGTACCGCCGTCGGGATGCTAGGGTTTTTAGAGAGTTGATTCGCGATGTGAGAATGAGAGTGTTGTCTGTGGATGAACCGGTCACAGCATGTATATATATATAAGACTCGGATTAAAAAATCGGTTTAAGCGGACGATCCAGCAAAACTGGCGATCTCACAGAGAACCGGGGAACGGGTCGCGATTACATAATCCGGATTTCAAATTTTGCGGGTCGGCACACTAGTATATATATAAGCATATCTATTAAAGGGGGAAAGATAAACAATAGAATGTTGAAGTGAATTTGATTGCTTTCAATCTGTGTCAAAACAAATACAATATATTTAGTATTCATACGGAGCTTATAACCCTTTAATATTAGATTGAGAAATAACAAAAAATTCATCAAATAATAAAGGAGTGTGTACGTATCGACAAGGGGATCAAATCATTTGTGTCAAAATCCACTGTTTCCTTTGTTACTTTCAATAAATAATGGACATATATTTGTAGATGTGGAAGAAAGAGAAATATAATTTATTAATTATAATTCAAATATTCTATTTTTAGAAAATTTTAATTTATAAGAAGTAAAATAATATTTATAAATATATCTAATGTGAATTTTTATTTAAAATTTCATTATATTATTTTATAATTTTTAAATATACATAAATCTATTTAAATAGTATGCATATATATATATATTCACAAATAAAATAATTATATGGATGAAAATAAAAAATATACATAGTATTTAATTAGATTTTAAGTATTTTTAAAAATGATTATTTAGTCAATTTTTTTCTTTAAAAATAATTTTACAAGTAATGTTATTTTTATTGAGTTTTTTGTTATCTTACGGTTTGGTTTTTTTTTATTGTGATTTTAAATTAATTTTTAAACATTGGTGTTAGTTTGAATATTTTTATAAATTTTTTTAATTAATATTTTATAAAAAATTAATAAATTATTATTGAGAGCGGTACGAAATAAATAATAGTAATTTTGTATTCAAATTGAGACGAATAAACTCATAAAAGAATTAATTTTTAAAAATTTTATTCGGATATATTTAGTTTATTTTCTGTTAGTTTATAAATATTATAAAAATATATTACTATTTCATCACATTCAATTATTAATTATTGGTTAAACAGAAAATAAATATGAGTATTATAAAATTTTTAAATATTATATAGTATAATTTAAAATCATAATAAATTATATAATTTGAAACTGACAAGTATATATACTCAATTATATACTTATTATATTATTTATTATGAGTTCAAAAAATTATATAATAGAAACTCACAAAGAATATTTAAAATCATAATAAATTATATAATATTTAAAAGTAACTTTTTATATAATATTTAAAATTATACTACTATAATATTTAAAAATGTTATACTCCATATTTATATTTATTTTCTGTTTAAAACTAATAATTAATAATTGAATGTGATATTTATGAAATAGTAATATATTTTTATACTTCCTTCGTCCTGTCTGCTACACTGTAGACACGGTATTTTAGGAGGAGTGTAATTAGTAGATAATTAAGAATATATTAGTATTATAAGATAATTATAAATTAAGATTAAGATAATTAATTAGTTTAATTAAAGTTTTAAAAAAATAAAATTAAAAAGTTTAAAATGAGATTAAAGTGTGTAATCATTTTTAAAAAAAAGAAAGTGACATGGTATGTGGAACGGACAGAAATGGCAACGTGGACATGGTATCTGGGACGACGGAGGGATTAATATTTATAAACTAGTATTACAAAAAACTAAATGCAAGTAAAATATTAGAAAAATAATTTTTTTTATGAGTTTATTCATCTTAATTTGAATTTAAAATTACTATTATTTATTTGGTACAATTTTCAATAATAATTTATTATTTTGGGTAAATTATATAATGTTCATCATGTCTTTTAGTAAAAACTGTACAAAACATCCTATATTTTATTTATTGCGTGAAATCCCTCTTGTATTAATGTAAAATTTACACGAAGTACCTTCTATGTCCAAAAACTGATATTTAATTCTAAATAAATACCTAAACTATACAAATTTAATATAAATAAAAAACGTAAAATATCTTAAATAATTTTTTGAATTAAATAAATAAATAAATAATTGATTAATCCTTCGTTGAAACAAATTATTAACTGATTTTTTATTAAAACTATAAAAATATATGATTGATCAATTATTTATTTTATTCAAAATAAATTATTTAAAATATTTTATATTTTTTTTATTTTATAAAACTTGCATAATCTGGTTCTATATCAGTTTTAAAGAAAAATAGTATTTTGTGCAAATTTTACATTAAAATAGAGGTTTCAAGCAATAAATAAAACACACGATGTTTTGTATGTTTTTATTAAAACACATAGGAGGAGTATTATATAGTTTACCTTATTATTTTTTATAAAATATTAATTAAAAAAATTCAAATTAACACCAACATTTAAAAATCAATTTAAATCACAATTAAAATAAATAAACGGTAAAACAACAAAAAACTCAATAAAATAACATTAGTTGTATAATTATTTTTTAAAAAAAAAATGACTAAATAATCATTGTTAAAAATACGTAAATCTAATTGAATAGTATGTATATATATAATTTTATTTAAACGTATATTTAAAAATAGAATATTTAAATTATAGTAATTTATATTTCTCTTTCTTTCATCTCTATAATACATCCAGTATTTATTGGAAAGAATGGAGGAAGAAATAGAAAATTTTGGATGCTTTGATCCCGTCTGTAACAATAGCCAAATTGACATAGGATTTAATATGATACATTAGCAATTAATTAAAGAAGAAGGAACAGTTGCAGAGAGCAAGACGAAAGAAGATCATAGAGCTGGCTGGGGAAGACGAAGAAGAAAGGTTAGCTTCGCTTATCAAAAGATGTCCCAACATGAGACTCCTCACCCAAATCCACGCCCACATTCTCACTCGCTCACCCCTCCTCCCTCTCTCCTTCTCCCTCTCCAAAGTCCTCTGCTTCGCCGCCTACCGCGACATCCGCTACGCCGCAACCCTCCTTTCCCACATCCCCTCCCCGACTGTATTCGCCTACAACACCGTCATGCGAGGCTTCCTCTCTCAAGCCCCATCTCTGCCCCACCCCATCCTCTTATTCAGAATTTTGGTGCGCAACAAGCTCCCGCCGGCCAACACCTTCACGCTCGCCTCCGTGCTCAAGTGCTGCTCCAATCTGGCGGCGTTTCAGGAAGGCCGGCAGGTGCATAAACACGCCGTCGCATCTGGATTGGCCGGGAATCTGTTCGTCGGGACTTCGCTGCTCAACTTCTACGCCAAATGCGAGGCGGTTGACATGGGCCGGAAGGTGTTCGACGAAATGCCCGAGAGGAATGTGGTGGCTTGGAGCGCCATGATTGGGGGATATGCCAGAGTAGGAATGGCGAACGAAGCTTTGGGGATGTTTAGAGAGATGCAGAGGAGGGGCGTCGAGCCTGATGAGATGACAATGGCGAGCGTGATATCGGCCTGCGCCGTGATCGGAGCATTGGATTTGGGGAAATGGCTGCATACCTACGTCGACAAGAAAGGGATCAAGAATGACTTGGAGGTGAGCACAGCTCTGGTTAATATGTACGCCAAGTGCGGCTGCATCGAAAAGGCCAGCCACATTTTCGAGGCCCTTCCGGAAAAAGATGTCAAGGCTTGGAGCTCCATGATCGTCGGATTTGCGATTCACGGCCTTGGACATGAGGCGTTGACGACTTTTGCAAAAATGGAAGCAGCCAAGGTTACAAAGTTGTCGATTTTAAAGCATTTGCGCTTGTTTAATTGCTCTTACATGGTTTTTGGAATGTGTTCAGGTCGAGCCGGACCATGTGACGCTTATCGGGGTGTTGTCTGCATGCGCGCACGGCGGCTTGGTCGAAGAAGGGAGGAAGTACTGGTCGAGCATGGTGGAAGCCGGGATCAAACCATCCATGGAGCATTATGGTTGTATGGTGGATTTGTTATGCCGCGCCGACCAAGTCGAGGAGGCTTATGAGTTCGTTAACCAAATGCCGGTTGCTCCGAATCCCGCGATATGGCGTACCTTGCTGGTTAGTTGCAAAAGGAACAAGATGTTAGAAAAAGGCAAGCTCATCGCCGAGTATCTTCTTCAACTAGAGCCACTCAATGCCGAGAACTATATCCTGATTTCGAGCATGTACGCTTCCGTGTCAGACTGGGTGAAAATGAGTCGGGTGAGGATGCAGATGAAGGAAAGGGGCGTCAAAGCCGTGCCCGGGTGTAGCTCCATTGAAATCGATGGGTACGTGCACGAGTTTTCCATGGGCGACTGGTCGCACCCTGATGCAACGGACATTAGAGAGGTTTTACGGGAGGTTGCGGAGAGAGTTCGAGGAGCTGGGCACGAGCCTTGGATTGCATCCGTCTTGCAGAATATGAGCGACGCAGAAAAGCAGGATGCACTTTGGGAGCACAGCGAACGATTAGCTATCGCATATGGATTGTTGAAAACGAAGGCGCCTGTTGTAATCCGAGTGGTGAAGAATCTTAGAGTCTGCATCGACTGTCACGAAGTGACAAAAACTATCAGCAAGTTGTACGGGAGGGAGATCGTTGTTAGGGATCGGATTCGCTTCCATAAGTTCGTCGATGGCGCCTGTTCTTGCCGAGATATTTGGTGAATGTTTTGGTGTGCTCTTCTTCTCTTTCAAATAGAACGGCTACATATATAGACTTATTCTGATACAAAAACCTCTTACAGAGGGGTTCGGATTTCTTGATCTTGATCTTACTTAAACAACGAGGTCGACGCTCCATCTGTACATTTCCTCTCCTGGAGTCGGGAGAGTGAGAGTTACAAGTCCAGATGCAGAGTCATGGTCGAATGCTGTTTTGATACAGTCCACACTGCATTTCCGTGGCTTTTTAGAACAGTAGGCTCCAAACCGGCCGCATCCCCTAACTTTAATCGTGATCGTTGCTACTGGCTGTCTGCTTTCTTTTACAGGCTCGATGCCATTGCTGTTGTCAGAAGAATCTTTTTTCGTTGTCTTGATTTCATAGTAGTCGACTGCGCCAGTGGTGTTGAACATGTCCAGCAAGCCAATAGGCGCAAAGGAAATGCCGTCTGTGACGTGCTGTGTTGAAAGATGGCCTGTTATGTTAGTCGACGAGTGAAGCAATGACAACTGAATCGAAAGGGATAAGAGTGTGAAACTCACCTTCACAGGGCAAAAATGGAAGAGCTCGTATTCAAGAACATTGAGTGTGACGGGCAAAGAAGCTCCTTCTGGCAACCGAACAACATCCTTTGTTCTATAAGCGTATACTACCGTGTCTCCAGTCCAGTCCGATCCAGCAATTTGAGGCAGCGCATCAACATCAGTGGCTTGGACTGAGCCGGTGAGTGTCCCTGGGGATGCATCGTGAATGCGGGTTCTTTTAGTTACCCGACACCATCCGGCGCCTTGGCAATTGAAGACGCCCACCACTCCAGAACATTTGTTTGCATTCCAGACTTTAAGCAAGCTGAAAGGCAGTAGGTATGTTTTAGTTCCTCGACAGATATATCTCAAGATTGATCATATGATGGAAAACACAAACCTTGTTCCATCTCTTGCTGGATCGACGAAGAGACAGTCTAGCGTTGGTCGTCCGGGCAATTGTGCTCTGAGAATCGATCCATCGGGAAGAACCAACTTTTTCAGAAGCTCGAAGTTGTGGTTCCCGGGCTTGTCGCTGAGGAGGAGATGGTAATCGGTAAACTACCATAAGTGATTAAATTTGCATTTACTTGTGATATGGGAGAGTTCTGAATGAGATTACCTAACATAAATAGCACAGCCTCCAACAGCACGAGCCGCGGCATGATAGTCTGCAGCTGGATGCAAGCTCTGTAAAAAAAGATGCAGAAGGAAGTCAGGGATGTTCATTAAATCTGAGAGTTTAAGATGGTAATAAATTTGAAGAAGCACAAACATGAAACATGTCCCAATCTGGCTGCATAAATTCCCCCAAGAACACTGTGTTGTAAGCTACGGAGGAAATGTGGATGGTGTGCGAAGCAGGATCCCGAGGGTAGAAGTCATCGGAAGCTCTAACAACAGCGGTCTGCTTGGCGCTATAAATCCCATCGGTATTATGACACATGCAAGCAATGCATCCATTGTCGGGGAAATTTCTGGAGACGGAAGCTTCGAGAGCTTGGTGATAACTGCGGGTTAGAGAAACTCGGCCGCCATGGCCAGCACCAAGAGTCTCGATAATGTTCTGCACATCGACTTTGACCCCGTCTACTCCACAGGAAGCCAAATAGGCGTGAAGCTCATTGTAGAAGTTGAAAACCTTCCTTGGGTGTACCAAACCGAGGCCGTGGACAGCAAGACTGTCCATAACAATATCTGGCTGGTTCCCCAGAATGCCGGGAGACTGTACAGGGTATGCCAAAGAAGTTTCGTAATGTTCCATGCCAGGACCTGCAGGATGGACTCCACCCCAGTAGCCTGCTAGCGCGTGCCATACGTATACATACCTGAAGCGTCCGCAAGAAAAAACATGTAATTACATTTCATGTTTTTAGATAAAATTAGTCGAAAGACCCACAGCTGAATCTTACTTGACATTTTGCTGCTCTTTTGCCTTTTTCACAACAGATTTTAGTCCTGTTTCTTGTTCGTTGGGTTTATTGCTCTTTTGGAATTTTTCATTCTCTTTGATTCCAGTTAGCCTGTTTGCAAATCTGCAATAACCGTGAAGATAAGGTCAGCTGGATGATGATCTTTTTGATTAATTTACTATATTGCAAACTTAACTGTTTACTTACTGAGCTCCTTCTTGAACTACACAATCTGAACTTTCCTTCACTTCACTACCAATTTGTTGCCATCCATCGTCTATAATTAAAAAGCGTGGTGGTGTACCTCCCTCGGTTAAGCTGCATGCATATGAATAAGTGGTTCAACGGATTATTTGCATTAATTTCTTTTTATTTACAATACAGAGGTTGTAATTAAAAATAGTAATCAAAAATAGTAATCAAAACAGTACCTTCGGATTCCATCTTCTACACCTTCAGCTGTGACATCAGTGTAGAAAGCATCCCATGTGCACCAACCAAACCAATCCAGAAAATCAGGAATCTACACAGTTGAAGGTGGAAGGTACATGTGAGCATAAATACAAATATTTTAGAGTTTTTTTACTTCAATTCGAAATATAATCACATATTTTTTAGTTCTCACCTTCTTTTTCTCACGGTGCTGAAATGTTTGTAAATGTTTTTCAACGGCTCTGTTTCACCGAAATATTTATTGGATATCAGCAAAATAAGAAAATCGCTGGTATCCTAGTAAGAACTATTGACACGAAACACCAAAAATGAAAAAGTTTATGCTTACTTCACTGCCTGGTTGATAACTTCAAAGGGATTTGTCCCAGCATGCACATAAACCAGGTAGAGCCCCTGATTAGTTTCTACTGCATTATCCCCTGCAACCCAAAGTCCGGAATTATACACCAAATGAATAAATAAACACACCATATTACTCTGCAGCCCAAACAACTTCATCAATGGATGCAATTGATGACACAACTGATGATTTTAATTGTCACAGGCCTCATTCTGCCCACATCAATTGCTTTGTAATACAGCAAACTACTCACCACTTTCAAGGCATATCTCGAGTTCATTTCTCTCGTTGCCTTGAAGAACTGCTCGGAACTGCCCCTCAAGAAGAGGCAGGAAAACGGTATAAATAGTTGGGCTATCTTCATGCTGGCCTTCACTTGCGCCTTTACTCTCCACAAGCATAAACTGAGTCTCCAACGGAACGTCCTTCCCACAAGTTCCCATTCTTTGAGTCATCCACCAGAGCTTGAAACGGAATAAGCACATGAAGCGAATGTCCCTGTTGACATGGAAATAATATAAATGCCATCATAAGAAAGCTCTAAGAAAATTTCTCTTCCACTTACGATCTGACCAGTTCCATCCTATAGTCTTCGATATCGTTAATGTTGTTTCACATGTTATGGAAATTTAACTTCAGCATGAATTGAAGCATGTCCAAATCAATTCCATATTTGATTAGCAACAATTAACGGGTAAATGAATATATACAAAACTCTACAACCAATGCAAAAATATAACCGTAAGTGTGCTTACTCTAAGACACCAACAGGGAAGACATGCAAGCTTTTGCTATGTGAAGCGGTAGCACCAATGAAGGAACCTGCAACAAGCCCCACACCCGATCCTGGGGTCAGCACAATATTCTCTGGTACTCCTTTCAGTAGAGTTTTCCCATGAACAGTAAGGTTCCCGTCGTTGAGAGAGATATTCGGTGTCACCGTCATCTTTGCTCGCTCCTGATAAATTAAGGTTTGAGAATTTACTGCATAACAGAGAAACAAGTATGCACAGCTCTAAGGTAAGATCACAGCAATCGAATTCTAGTTAAATCGTTTTGCTTCTGTTTAACAGGCATTAAAAAATAAATAAATAAACATTTTCCTCAGCAACAAATAGAAATACAAATGTAAATAATTTACATGAGGCCAATATTAAACTTTGAATCGAAATAATCAAAAGAAGCTAACACCGTAGGCAGTTTCATATAAGAATCCTGTTTCAAGAAGGGATAACAATCTAAGGGATGAGAACAGTACGAAAATAGTATCTAAAACAAGGGCTGCAAAAAAACAGAATATTCAGAAAGTGGCTAAGAGAATGACACAAACGCATTTAACCCATAGAAAAACAAAACTCTACGGGAGAGCTAGAGGGAAATTTCCAAAAATCTCTCAAAGTCTATCCCAAAGGTTAGATAAGAAGGATCGAAATGAAAGACCATAGGTTCGACGAGAAAATTAATTGTAATTTCAAAAGGTTTTGGAGTAAAATCCACCCATGGCATATACGTTAAACTACTAACGAATTCAACGTCAAGGACCTCTCAAAGGCTTCAATTTTGTCTTCTGGAGTTCTGGCAGGGGCAGGTGATTTGAATGTATCAAAGTAGAAGCTGAAAAAAGAAGCAACGTTCAGAAGACTAGCCACTGTAATCTTCAGTTTCCAATGAAACTAATAATACTAAGAATAGACACAAGAAATGAAAATCTCCGCAGGAATTCAGTTGTTTCACTAATGCAAAACCCGAATCACCTCCAGAGTTCTCCGACTTCTCCAATGAACTCGAAGACAAAGCACAAGCTTTACGTGCTACCACGCTCTTTCGATAATACAAACACGGAACCAACGATCGATAGACTGGCAAAACAAATGCTTGACGTAAAATCATTCTAATAATTCCACCAAATTTCCGAGGAAAATTGTCTAGAAAATTAACAATAATCACCAAGTTCAAAAATGTCTCGAGAAACGTCTTCTGCAAATATAACACCTGTAAACACGGCACCAAAAAATCCAAAATCAACTAAAAATTGCACTGTTCGTCCAAGCAGGAAAAACGAAGTACTCGTTCGCATACTTAAGGCTTCCACTCCAACAAAACGTTCACAATCAACAGACAACTCTGCGACTACTATAACAGACAAACAAGCCTTGAAGAGCACCACTATCATTACCTTTGCAATCTAGAATGCAGAACTCCGTAAGTAAAGCATGCGCAATAAATTAACAACAAAATTCAAGCCAATGGATATGGAGATTGAGCTAGCTAGAATGTTCCAGCAAGTGCTCGATAATAAGAGCGCGAGTTTGCAGATTGAACAATCCGCTCCTTTAAATACTCGACCGATCATTAAACATCGAACGGTTTCTCAAACAATCTCCAATAATAAGATGACACGTAGTATGACTAATTGCTCTCCAAAATTGGGCGGGGGCGAAAAATGAAATGTACACGATAGTTTGTATGGATATTTTTTGACATGGGATATGGCTGTTTTCTTTAGCCAGTGCAACATTTCTATTGTTTCGACTTATAAGTTTTTAAAAAAATTATGTATTTTTTTTTTTCATTCACAGATATTTTATTATACATTATTTTAATATAAATATAAATCAAATTTTTTTCTAAAAGCAAATCAAAATAAACACACCCTTAAAGAATTCTATAGATAATAGTAGTAATAAATTTATGTAATATATCTTTTGAAAAAATAATTCCTCCGTCTCATTTCTATCTATTCGTTTATTTTTGCAAGGAGTTTAAGGTATATTAATACTCCTTCTGTTCCATAACTAAATATTCATTTTTTGTTCACGTAGTTTTAGAAATATTAGTATTATATTTAGATATAATAGGAATAAAATAGAAATGACTAAAATAACCTTATTAATATGTGTGATATAAAGTTAATGATATTTGTGTAATATATTGTAAGTTGTAAAGGTATTTATAATGTTAGGTAGACAGTAGAGTTACTAAAAAGGAAATGAATACTTTGTTATGAGACGGACTAAAATGGAAAAATTGATATTTTGTTATGGGACGGAGGGAGTATTATATATATTTATACTTAGTATAAATAAAGTATAAATGACTAAAATAATTTTATTAGTATTATGTGATATAAAAGTAATACATTGTAAGTTATAATCGTATTTGTAATGTTAGGTAGACAATACAGTTATAAAAAAAATAGATACTTTGTTACGAGACAAACCAAAATAAAAAAATAGATAGGAGACGGAGAGATTATAAATTTTTTTACAAAAAGAGCATACCTAGAGCGTGTGGTTGACAATTAACTAATTAGTTGTTTATAATTAAAGATATTTATATTTTAATTTAAAAATTTTAATTGTATTTTTTTCAGTTTAAAGGATTTTGAATAATTTTTGTTATTAATTATAAAAATATTATTAATATATTTATTTTGCTATTTTAGATATTTTTGTAAAAAAAATAATATCAAATACTATAAAAGAACATATTTCTAATATATATTTTAATTATATGAATTATTAATTAATATTTCATTACCATTTTCAATAAATTTAATTTATTTTAATTTTTAACTTAAAATTTATACAATAAATATATAAAAATAATTTTAAATTTTTAATCTAATAAATTAATATGTTTGACAAATAAATTAAAAAATAATTAATAATTTCAATTATTTGAAATTTAAAAAATAAATTATAATTTATGAAAATATAAATATATTAAAATAATAAATAAAACTATATTTATATATATGTAAAAAAGATAATAATATTTAAAAATAAATATGAAATAAAAATAATTAGAGTGAAAATGCTCCTATGACATGATGAGTATAATAATTTTTTAAAATTGTTCCATCCGTCTCACATTTATGTATTGTCTATGGTATATACGAGAATTTATATAAAGTACAAATAATAAATAATTAAAAAGTATCAATAAAAATAATTATATATTAAAATTAAAATAGTTAATTAATTTCATTATATTAAAAAAACATTTTAATAAATTTTAAAATGTAACTGAAATATATAATTAATTTTTCTTAAGAAAACAAATACTCCCTCCGTTCAAATACAATAGTTTTGTATATCATTTTTGTCCGTCCTAAAACAATAGTCTTATTTTCATAAATAAATATATCACAGTAAAACTACCATGTTTTTTCATTTTTATTATTATCACTATTTTTTACACTAATACACTTACAAAGACAAAAAAAAATCTTTTATTCATAACTTTTACCAAATACTAATATATTAGCTCAATTAAAACTATATTTATGGAAACGAGAGAGTAATATAAAAATAGTAAGTAAATAAAATGCAGAAAAATAATTTCTAGAATGCAACAAACTATTTTAAAAAGTTTATTTATTAAATATTATAATTAACTTTGTGAGTTATCAAACCACTAACCACTGACAGATACTAATTACTCGGTCCGTCCCATATAATTTATTTTTATTTTCTATTTTCGTCTGTTCCACATAATTTGTTCTTTTTATTTTTGGAAATATAATTATGTATTTTAATCGTATTTTAAATTTTAAATTTTATAATTTTCTTGAATATGCTTCTTAATTACTTATTAATTATACTTTACCTAAATTCTCGTGTCAACCGTAATACACCCATATTACGGAACGGAAGAAGAACTAAACACCATAAAGAGTTAAACGTAGGATGAGCAATTTGATTTAACCACCGCAAAAGGTAAAAAGATTAAAAAATTGTTTATAAAAAGAGAACCCGCATAACGTGGCGTTAATTAGGTCAACGTGTGCAAATTTCCACGTAAGCACGTCAAAATCGTTTCCGTGGAGGAATTGGCCACGTCGGCTGGTCGTCTCAGAGAGCGCCAACTCACTGCACTTCAATCTTTTAAATAATTAATTAATTTAAATCAATTATTAGTTTTTTTTTTATAAAAATAAGTAAAAAATAAATTATAAAATTAATATAGATGGGTGGAGGTGACACGTGCACAGTGATCACCGGCCACAGTTAAAACATGTGGTCCAACTTAGCTCCCATTTCGACCACGTAGACCGACAAACCCTACTGCTGTCTTTGGCTGCTACTTTACATTTTTTTTTTTTTTTTAATTTTGATTTTTATCATTTGCTTACTTAAATTACATTTTGATTTAATAAACTTGTATATTGTTCAAATTATATATATCTTAATTCTTAACATTTAATTAAATAATTATCATTAAATAAAAAAAAATTAGCTAATTAAGATTCATTTGATACAGATAAATAATACTCCCTTCGTCCCACGTATCATGTCTACGTTGTCGTTTATGTCCGTCCCACGTACCATGTCACTTTCTTTTTTTGAAAAATAATTATACACTTTAATCTCATTTTAAACTTTTTAATTTATTTTTTTTAATTTTAATTAAACATTATCTTAATCTTAATTTATAATTATTTATATTATACGATAATTATTTTCACTAATACAATCTTAATTATCTACTAACTATATCTTTTATAAAATACCGTGTATACAGTGATATGTGGGACAGATGAAGTAGTAAAAAATAAAATCAAAAAAAAAAATTAACAAAGAATTATAATTAATTTTTCTACTTAGTAAAATATGTGTTCTCTTTCTATCAGTTGTATACTTATTTTGTTTGTAATTTACAAATAAAATAAGTATAAAATCGGCAAACAAAATGAGTATAATTCAATTAAAAAATATATAAAAAAAATTAAAAGTTTGGAAAAAAAGACAATGTATTACAAATGAAAAAATATACTCCCTCCGTCCCATAACTAAATATCAATTTACTTTTTGCATGTTGATCTTTGGATATTAATTATTATATCAAAATGTATTACAAATTAAGGAAAAATTGCAAAAATATTTCTATTAGTGTCTTATAATACTAATATAATAATATTTGTATAAAAAATTATACAAATATAAGAATATTTTTAACGTTAAATACAGGGTAAGAAAATATTACTAGTGTATTTAGTTGGTTGGTGATTTTTGTTTTATTATTATTATTATTATTATTATTATTATTGAATAATAATTTGAAGATGATATTTTGCAAATTTTAAATAGTATATAATATATATAAAAAAAAATTATTAAATATAATAGTAAAATAAATAATGAATAAACACACTGGGTTTTTAAATTTTTATTTATTTCTATTTCTTTGCCTTTAAATCAAAATTGAAAATATAATTCAATAAATGGTTGATTTTTTATATTTGAATTCTTGGCCCAAACAAGCAAAATATATACTACTCCCTTCCTCCATCTCATTTACCATTATGTCCATTCCACATTCCCACGTCACTTTCTTTTTTTAAAAAATAATTATACATTTTTAATTTTTTAATTTAATTTTTTTAATTTTAATCTTAATCTTAATATATAATTATTTATATTATAGAATAATTATTTTCACTAATATATTTTTAATTATTTACTAATTATATTTATCCTAAATTTTCGTGTCTGTAGTGACCCAGACATCCAACGTATATTTTATATCTCTATTTTTCTGTACAAAAACACTCTTAAATTTAAAATTAAATTACATTTAAATGTAGCAATGGTTCAACATTACCACATGATTCACTTTGTCAGTTTTTTTTGGAGAAAATTATAGATTATATTAACAAAATAAAATAAGTATGTATATGAATATATATACAAAGTTGACTTCAAACAAAATTAAAATATAAAATAAATAATACAAAAAACAATACTACTACTAATAATATAAATATAGCTAACACTCTTGGAAAACTCAAGGTGAGATAACACTGACCAATTTGAGGTTTTGTTTTGGTTTACTCCCTCCATCCCGTCTCAAAAATAATAGTTTCATTTTCATAAATAATCATATCATTATAAAATTATTTTTATTTTTTATTATTATTACACAATTATCACTATTTTTTACACTAATACATTCACAAGGGCAAAAAAATCTTTTACCTTTACTTTTTATCCAAATTTCGTATAAACAGAACTCAGACTATAATTATGGGACGAATGGGGAGTATTTTTTACATACATCTAATAAAAACATTTAGAAGAGTGAAATAAGGTTTATCATCAAAGCATTCTTTTAATTTTTATTGTTTATGATTTATTATTGTACTTTCCCTATTCCATTTCAATTGACTGTTTTATTATTATTATTATTATTATTATTATTATTAATGTTAGACTCATTTTATTTCAATTGATATATTTACATTTTTTCTGTAAAATTTATTAAATTAAAATATATTTAATAGATATAAATCAATTT